CCCCCCCCCCCCCCCCCCCCCCCCCCCCCCCCCCCCCCCCCCCCCCCTCCTCACCCCCACTATTATTGTCTGAGCCACCAAAGTGTTTTTTCCCACGCTTTATTTTCACCGTCCTGTTTGCAGCCAGGCAGGAGGAGGAGGTGGGGGTGGAAGAGTGGAGGGGTGGGGGGTAAGAACTGATGGGGTCGCCATGGAAACCCCACATTGGCATGCCCCTGATTGGACTGTGTGGTGGCTAATTATTCAGTGCATATGCTTAAAAAAAACAATAAAGTAGGACGTATTGAAATGCAGAGCCAAGCATCGCATGGTGTGTGATTAACATATGAGCCCAGCGCTGCTTTTGATGAAAGACGCCTCAGTTTCATCGCTCCATGTAGAACTTAACTGCAATGTGTAATTTCATGTGCATGTTAAATACATTAGGGCATATCTTTAAAATTTCAACTGTAATCCTTTTTTTCATATCATTTACTATTTGTGTTGTAATATGTGAGCTTTTTTTTTTTTTTTTTTTTTATAATTTTCTGTTAAAAAAATCTACTTAAACTAGTTAATTTACTAGTTAATTTATAATTTACATAATATGCCAATTTACATGAGAGGATCAATGCAAACTCTTACATTGAGGCTGCCAAAGAAACAAAAAAACAAGAGCAGCATGCTAATGGCAGGCCTCTGAGCACTGGCATGACAGACAAATTATGTGTGCGTTTGCTTGTGTGTGTGTGTGTGTCAGAGGCAGTAGGGATGGAGGGTCTGCTGTGTGAAAGAAACCCGTGGGGTAGGGGTTTGTATATATGTGTGGTGGGTGGGGGGCTACGTTAACAATGGCAGGCATTGTTTACCAATCTCCCTCGTCCATTAATCAGGACGATCCGGCTCTAATTGGCGTTTTGGTTAAGCTGGTCTCCAGACCCCCTTTCCCTCCGCTGGCCTAAATAATGGCGTTACGCCACAAGTGCCGCCACACATTGGGGAGGACAATGTGCCGCTTGTCTGAGGGCCCGGGATAGGATCCCCACCCTCTCCTCTTCTCCTCCTTTCTTAGTGCCCCCTGCACCCCCCCAAGATAAACCTCACACAGAAACACAAAGAAGGCCTCTCACTATTGAGATCTCACTGTCGCAGTCTCCCTCTCCTCATCTGTCTGCCCCCCTCTCCTCCATCCAGTCTTTCTCAGTCATTCACCCGCGACACTTTTTCCTCTCTGAACCGATAGGTCGGTCCCTCGTTTCTGCCGGTCGTCGTGAGAGGAGCAAGTTCAACGGTCAAGTCGAAAAAAATACGTCGTAGGCTGAGATACTCACTTCTTATCCCCTGCTTAAAGGTTGGCTAAAATGCCGCTGTAGTATAAAAAAAATCCCTAGTTCCTAATTAACATAATTTAAATAATAATAAGGACTGTATGCTTCTCTCAAAGTTTAAACATTTCTCAGATTTGTAAAACCCTTTCATAACAAAGGCACAAAGGCCAGAGCGGTTGGCATGATGGGTTTTCATCCAACAGCATCAAAAAAAGAAGTAACTTATATTAATTTTGGTTATTAAATTAGAGTACTTTCCAGTTAAATCCCAAAAGACATTTATCTCATCTCTTGAAACGGATGACTGTGAAACCCGTTATGTACCAACATCAAAAGTGCATAACCATGAAGCTGAAAAACAGGCTAGGAAATGACCTGTTGGATACACATGGTTTTCATTCAACAACTACAAAATGGGGAAAGGAAAGGTAACGATACGTGTCTTTAACATTGTTAAAATTCAAATAAAATCTCAAAGTTTTGATGTTCCTTCGGTTCAGAAATGAGTGACAGTTAATGCTGCTATGTCAAATAAGCCACATGTCCAAAATATTATTCTACAAGCCAAATATGAAGTCTCGTGCACGTGTGAGAAAACTGTGTGATAATGAGCAGAGATTTATGAAGACTGCCATGTTGCTAATTACGGCTCCTTGTGGATGTCAGAGAGCATGTAGGTGTTTTTTTTCTTCCACATCACCAAACAAAGCTGTCTGCAGCGTAAATAATATGTGAATGCTCCACATGCAGAAATAATGCCAGTAGAAATGATAACTCTTTGCAATCAAAAGAATAATCTACTGTCTTGGAAACAGAGCAGTCCAAAGAGTTTTCAGAGCGTCTTGGAAATCCACAAAATGGTCGATCGTCAGCGTCTGCAGCTTTACAACGGGCACAACGAAAGCGACGCAGGAACCGCAGCCTGCCCTTAAAAATGCCAGTTTGCCGATGCTCAAAAGCCACTGGCTCTACGGTTTCCTCCTATCTCATCCTTTCCCGCATGTCTCTTGGGGCGATCTCCACAATTAACACACTGGCAGTAATTAACACTGTCTTGAGGCAACCAATGGCGCGGAAAGGATCGGGGCCAACACGAAGTGGGGGAAGGTGCAGAGCTGGCTATCCACGTTCTGCTTTTTTCAGCTGCCATTTTGTGCCAGTCTTAACACCTAAGATGGTGGCAGGACTGTGACTTGCTGTGTGGGAGAGGAGGACAAACTGGCAAGGGAGGGGTCGGAGAAGAGGAGGATTATGGGATTGAAGAGGGAGTCTCTTATTTTTCATTCTTCTAGTCGGTACATTGCTGAACGATTACCAAGACAGGAGAGAGAGGCGGAGAGACAGAAAGAGGCATGATCGTCAGATTGGTGCCCTACATGCACCACACATAGAGTAGGAATTCTACCACATGGACACACACACATACACAAACACACACACACACACACACACGTCAGAGAGGAAGAACAAAGTGTGTATACAGAGTTGGGGCGAACAAACAACGCCCTGTGATGGTCTGTTTGTGTAAAAAATGTGTAATTTACATGCACTTAATATACGCCGCACACATACGAACACACACGTGTGCCCATGCATGAACAGACACACGCACACACACACACACAAACAACCAACAGAGCCGTTCTCATGGTATGGTCTGCCCCTGAGCATGCAAATGACATTCATTATGCAAATGCTTACAAATCAGAACCAACCATCTGAGAATCCAAGCTGGGAAAAAAAACGAAAAGAATAAAATCAAATGAATGAGGGGGGAAAGCAGAGAGAAGAAGCATGTTTGGACGAGGGAAAGTACAGTGTCAAAAAGCGCATGTGAGCATGTGGTCAACAGAAATATAGCTTATAACTTGTTTTTTGTCCACCAAAAAAGGTTTTAAGACATAATAAAACCAGATGAATCTTAAATATAACTTAGCTGCAGCCATAAGCAGTGTCTAAAGAGCTTAATATGCAGGATTTGGAAGTTTTAAGATCAATTCAGTACATAAAAACATACTAGCCCATTATTTTCGAAAGATTTGTAGCTTCTAGATAATATACTCGACAGAATTAGGTGCAACATGGGAGATAAGATGACACACGCATACGACCCATCTTCCTCAGTGACTTCTTGTGCCCCACTGATGTCATACTTGTTTGAGACAAAGCCCATTGAGTTCTTTTAGCAGCAAAAGCAGAAAATCAAACTGCAGAAGAGCATCAATTGGAGAGATGCTCCAAATGATGGCAAAGCTAATTGCCTCTCGAGGTGTTCTTTATTTTTTTTTCACCTCACTACCACTGCTTCTGTCCGACATGCTCTCTAAAACCACAGAAGAGCGGCATTCATGTTATCACCCTTTTATGAATAATCCAAATCCTGAAACTCGAAAATAGAGTTGTTTGTGTATTTTTTAATGTGTATAAAGAGGCTGATGGGGCTACAGCTCCATGTTTCAACCATGTGTAATGCCTCATCCAACGACTACAGCAACAACAACAACAACAAAATTTCCCTCACAAAGAAAAGGATTCAAGCATGAAAACATGAAAACACGCATATTTTAGCCAATTATCTGGCATTGCTAAAAAGGCAAAATAAAGGCTAATTAGAAACAGATTGAGGCCAAATTCTTACCCAAACAAAGTGAAATTAGACAAAGAGATTCCTGAGTGTGTGTGCGCGTGTGTATTCGTGTTTGTGTGTGCTGGAGAGGGAGACGGGGAGGAAAGGAGAAAAAGAGAGGCCTAAATGACATACAGGAAGGTGTCGATTTATAGGATCTTAGAATCAAATGGGTTTTTTTTTAAAGAAAATGTATCTCAAAATGATATCCAAGTGTTTTGAATTTCTAAACTCTCTTCTTCTCCTTGAAATAACTGTATCTCATGCTAAATAATTGCTTAATTCTTAACTTATTTGTACTTGCAGTGATAACAAATCAACGTGTCCTCACAGGAGACCTAATTTGATTTGATTTGTGATCAGTTAGATCTCTAAACATTTTTTTTTTTTTTTAACTGATACAGGGTGAGGGCATGTTACACAGTTTACCTCTCTACAGATGGGTTGGATAAGAAGGTGGCAGGAATGTTTGTCAGTCCCACTGTCAGTTCTAATGCTTTTAGTATGAAACACTGTTTAAAAAGTCTAACTTGGCTACACAGTTTGTTTTAATCTGGTACACCGAGCAGATTAAAACCTTGAGAACGAACTTGGAAAATAAGGCTGGTCCTTCATGAACGTCAGCTGTTTCGGTAAAAGTCAGCGGTGCTTGAATTTGGCCCTTAAAGTCACACTGAAATGCAAAATAGATCAAGCTAATAACAAATGTGTGCGCCTGCTCCCATCGAAAGATACATTGCAGAAAACAACAAAACAATCTGGTCATTTTGCGTCCAAAATTTTACTTTTGTCTCCTGGAAAAACAGAGAATCTTTAGTGGTGTACTTTTTATACATGTTCTTCTCTCCATAAATGTAATTAACGGTTTCCTATTCTGTCCAAACATCTCGCTTCAGGAGGAAAGGGATTAAATTAATAATGAATTAATGAAGTACAATGCTATGAAAGTCAATTGCACTGTGACTTTAAACTGGTCATGCAGGGCTGAAGCTTTGATCTTATAAGAACATATACTGTAGGGCTCAGTTAAGTGCATATGTTTGGTACGGTCAAAAATGTTTCCGTCCCCGTCGACGCCAATTGATGGACAGAGTGTGATAGTTGTTTGAAAAGAGCCGGCATGAGGAAACATTCACACACTACCATCTTGTCACACAGCAGCACAAGCTATAACCCACCACTACAGTATGACCGTGGTTTGTTCAACAACCAACTAAAAGTTTTTGTAGTTACAATTCAAAAATGTATTATTTGTGTTGCCTAGTGCACACTGGATCCTCTATGAGACACCCAATGCCCATCCCCTCCCTCTAAAAATACCCCTAATGTAACACAGCATCATACCTTCACGTCATCGTTTGGCAGCGTCCATTGTCCGGGCTCATTCCTGGGTCTTCTTGGGCTTTTCATTGAGTTTTCTTCCACCGTGCAGGCGTGTAATGGGATTCTTGTTACTTTCGGTTATCTAGCTTTATGAAAAATGTACATCACTCATACAGCTAGATAACCAAAGATAACAGACAACCCCTCAGGCCTGCAAACACAGCTCTCTGCCAGCAGCCCAGACACACTCGCACCACCTCCAACACACCTGTAAGAACAAACAATGACAGGGAAAAATGCTTAAAGGGCTAATTCACCAAAACAAAGCTACTTTACTCATATTTGCACATATTTCAGAAGTAGAAATAATGACAATCATAAATCTGGAGTGTTAATGCAGATGATTTATTACATGGTGTTAAGAACGCCTCAGTGAAATGAGATGAAAAACAAGCATGACTAAAGATTCACAAGGGATACTGCTGGGAAAACACATTTTCCAAGCTATTAAGTGTCTTTTATATGACTGAAATGTGAATGAGCTCTTATAGGAATTCAAAACAACACATTATAGCCGACTATCCAGTGAACTAAAGAAAACAACAATAAAGGTCTTTATGAGGGGCATCAGAAGCTCGGGATGAAATAGCACTCAGTGGAATAATTTACACAAATCGCACTGTGAAGAAAATATTACAGTATGGCAGAATGAAAGAGGAAATCCCTTGGAAATTGAACACATGAACTCATTTTAGTAGAGGTAGCCACTCTACCACTATAAAGGTATTCAGTCAGTATTATTTTAACTGTACAGGCAGATAGACCCTTAACATTCATGTTCTTTTATATCTTTAAACACTGTGATTAGATTACATGTATATTTGTGGGAATTGTTGTGCATGCGTTTATTCATATTAAATAAATGTACATTATAAAGTAATGTTTAAACTCCTTACATATAGATATTTTTTTATATTTGGACATAATTTCCATAATTCATAATTATCTGCTTAAATGCTCAAATATTTAGACACCTATAGCCAAATACATAATTGTGTGTGTGTGTGTGTGTGTGTGTGTGTGTGTGTGTGTGTGTGTGTGTCTAAAATATTCCCCTAAACCGCTTTTTTATTTAATGGCTTTTTGCGTGAGAGGGGAGTGACGTCACTGGCATCGCTGGCTTTCAATTAATGCAGCGAGGTGTGATGCCCAATTAACACACACACACGCCATTATGGAGAAGGTGTTCTTTCGTGTAGCATCGCGAAAATAGGCCACTGCCACGAACGCACACAGAGCGTCTCTAAAAACGCAGATAACGATATTATACACATCATTTCATGCTTCAGTCCTGCATTTTATTTTTTACAACTGCTTTCTGAAAGAGCTCATAGAGGGATGAATTATACAGAGCAAGCTTTGGATTTTTGCCAGAAAAAAAGGAAACATCCATTAGTGGAGATTACGTTGCTGTTTTACGTCTGCAGGCCGTGACACACACATTTTAACACGATCGAGCTCACGACTTCAACGTTCACAATCACTCCTACTGATGGCTTGAACTCCACAGCATTTGTATTCTCCTTTAGTGATACTTGTATTAACAATTCCACATATAGCCTTTGCATATTGTTAGATTTGTGATTAACAGTCTTTATTTTCCTAATGTGATCTGGTGATCTGGGTGGCGAGCTGCAGCATGTTGCCCCTACAGGGAGACATATAGTTGTGTTGAATATAATTATCCGGCTACAGAAAAGTCGATTTGTGTGTGTGCGTGTATTAAGTTTTTGAAAAACTAAAATTAGACTTTCTTTTTCGAATTGATTGGAATTAGATGTCTGAAGCTGTTACATATTTATTATCAATGGTCGTTTTTTACAAGACCATATTTATTTCGCTGTCCCTCTAAATGCAATAAATTATGGTAATAGCTAAGATTATTATTGCAACTGTGTATTTATTTGTATTGTCTATTTGTGTGTCAAGATCTCAGATCTCTGTGAGGTGCAATTTTAACTTCCCTGAATTAAAGCAAATACTAAATACTGAGCACATGCTGACTGTAAATGAACGACTCAAATGAGACGAAATACTCATTTAAAACTGATTTCTTTCTTATCTATATCTGATGCATTTTCTGCATGCAGCTACCAGTACAAGAGTAAGCTTGGTGTGGAGAAACTAAAAACATAGCCCACTATAACGCATATAGAAAGGGAACAAGGCATTAGTTCGGTCCAAACTGACTTCTGAACCGCTGAACTGTAATTTCTTTATAGGTTTCGTTTAAGGTACCTAGGCAGTGTAGTGGGAAAACAAATATACTTTAATAGATTGTCAGGAGCATAAAAGCCTTCTGTAAATGATGGAAAATCTGAGCGGAAAAGTCGCTTCCAAAAAAAGGATCCCGAAAGGATTTTAAAATGATTTCCAGGAGTAATCAATTAGTTCCATACAGTGTGCTGCTGCTGCTGCAGCGTGGTCACTTGGTTTTTCGTGTGTGTGAGAGAGAGAGAGAGAGAGACAGAGAGAGTGTGTGAGAGAGAGTGAGAGAGGGAGAAAGATGTTGTAGTCTGGATTTTCCTAATTTTCTTGCATTGAGAGCTCACATGCCAGGTCGTCAGTCTACAAGCGAAGGATTTAGTGGTGATAGTAAATCCATGAATCCATGACAAATAAAAAGTGGGATCATTTATATTCACCTGGAAGTTGGAGGAAACCCTCATCTTCACTTCTGGTGCTTTTGCGTGTCATTTTCTAGTGGGGGAAAAAAAGAAAGAATGACTTGAGGATATAAGAAAGAAAGTCCAGTAGAATCTCGAAGGCATCCTTAAAATGAGTGCTGAATAACATTCCATCTCGCTCTCTCTCCTTCTCTTGAAAATCCCAGGAAAACACCCTACGTGGGATATCTGCCTATAGGTCACAGAAAGCCCCAAACTAGTCCAGTTTATGTTGCTCAGCAGGGTCGCTTTGCACCTGCAGCTTCTCTGACTCTGCAGCAGAATGAGGCTCCAGAGATGCTGCATGCATACAGCGGCCCCTTTTCAAATTTCAACATGTTATAGACCTGTGTTTCACAGCAGTGTCAGGTTTGCTCAGATATGTGCCGTCTGACCTGTGAGAATAACGCGCGAGGTCAAAGAACACTGGGTCGTACATGTTTTACCTGGATTCATCTGTCCTGTTGTATGCAGAGTTATGGTTACTGCTCATGATAAAGCCCCGATTCATGTCTTCATTTTTGGGGAGCATCCGACTAATTTGGCCTTTGCGTCATCCGGCCTGGGCCAAGCACAAGCGAGTTATGCTGTTCAGTGATGAGGCAGAATACAATAAATCCCTTGCACGTGCAAAATCTGTTCCTTTTCAAGCAAATGATCTATCACTTTAACAATAGAAAAAGTCCAACAATATAGTAGTATTTCTCCGGGGCTTCTCAGCTACAGTTTGGCGCAATACATCCCCCACAGATATATAAAGTACAATAGAAATGTGATCTAATAATTGTAGGAATAAAACCTGTACACGCAGTTGAGGGAGGTCTGTCTATCCACTCACACAGATTAAGTAGGCTTTACGTAAGAGCTCTCCTATGCTGGCAACGTAGCCTGCTGTGTAATCTCAAGCTACAGGAAGCCGCACACTGCTGAGTTCATGTACAATAATCATCTTTTGCTTTTTTACATGCTTTCCCGCCTGCTTAGCCTTTTCAGCGCGTAAGCTGTTGACAGCAAACAGGCCAAACACAACCCTGTGCTGGGAAAGGTTGCACCGCCCGGGGCCACACTGATACCGCCACATGCCGGTGTTATAGACCCATGCAACATCTGTCAAATTACACTTATCTGCAATGTGATGATTTATAGCAAAAGCGACAGTGTTTACCATCCAACACGAACTAATGGTAATAACAACAGAGCTTTTGGCTGATCTGGTATCAAAGACACTAAACCTATGTTGCAACTTAAAGTTGAAGAAGAAAAAAAGAACTCTCATTAGTATGGTATTTTCTTGGAGTCATCTCTTAAGGGTCTTATCAAAGTGTAGGTTAAATGGGCAGAAGGATGGGAGAGAGGGGGAAATGCAGATCATCATTCTTGGTACAATATTAACATTAATATAGTAAAGATAACTGGGACCTAATCAAAAGGCCTTGTGAGAGACAGCAGCTCCCCCGTGACTGTATACGGCAACTAAAGTCACTGCTGAAATTAACGAACTGCTTCACACTCGCATGCTGAGATTTCAGCAAACCGCCTTGGACATATACTGTGGTATCTAGTGCCAAACAAAACTGTGTGCAGCCACAAGTGAAAGTACACGTCTGCTGCCATCAGATGATGTTCAGCCTTTATCTCGGATGCTGCTGCTGCACACCGTTTCTACAGACCATAAACTGGTCTGAGAACAGTACAAGCATCTCTGGGAGAAATCCATTAGAAGCATCTGTTCGGCCTGTAGATGCTCACTTATTTCACAACCGGGTTACACACATAATACAGTGTGTTGCAGCCTAAAGACGCGCATGATCTCTCCATGTAAATCCTCTCCTGCAGGTGTAAACTCACACTCGTATGACTCAAAACCACTCATAATACAAAACACTGTTCTTACTGTTTCTTCCTCAGGTGCAGAAAGGTGGGTTGCACTGGGCTTGGATGAGCTCCTGGTAACCAGCGGTCCCTCCGGACTGGGAGCCAAATGAGCGCGTTCGTGAGCGACGTATTGAGCTTTGTGGCGACGGCTCATCGTGACGTCCCGCCGGCTCCGTCCATTTTTTAAAATCTAACGGGTCTTCTTGTTTCTTTCCGCGCATATCGTCACACGGCTGTCCTCCACATCCACAGCCCCCGTCCTCCCCTCACCGAACAGGGGAGTTGGGGCTGTCCGATGGCTACATCTCCACCACCGTTGATTCCAAATGGTTTAACATCTCATTTGTCCTCAATCATATACGCCGTCCAAGGCCCACCCCCTTGTGAGTCAGTGAAGTAACACTGTTCCCACCCTCTGAGATTGTTGTATTATGCAAGGCGGCCGATGTAATTATAATAGAGACCTATGGCAGCGTCTCTCACGCCCCCCAACAGACGCATGCAGAAGTGCATGGTGGCGCCATCATTCATTCATCCACCAAACCTCACTCTAATTCCTATAGGGGGTTTCAGACAGTGTATGTGCGGATGTGCATGACTTTATAATGCTATAGTAATATCCCTATATATCTGATACAGACATACAGCGAGTTGTTTACATGTCAGTAAATCATATCATATCATTTTCGCAGCCTTTTTGGTAGTGCTCTCCATTAAAGTGGTCATATTGTGCACGTATCAGTATCACGAACATCATGGGCCAACTTTGGGGTTATTTATAATGGATGTATAAGTCTACAATTTCTGCTGTCATATTGTATCCTTGTAGCACCTTTTTAAATTGTAATCTATAGGTTTACTTATTTAATAATGAACAAAATGCAGACTTCACATTACAGGAGAACATCTCATTTTCCGACGGTTCAATGTGATAAGTCGTGTCTTTGTATTTGGCTTCTCACCCACAATTGACATGTATCTCAAAGATGTTGCTTGAAGCTTGTAGAGACTGACTTGACAGACAGACTTGAGAGGCGCTCCGGCTTAGTTAATTATCATGATAATCACAACAGAAATCTTTTGAATCAATGAAAGACGAATCCTCTCAAACGTTATTGTATAAGGTCTTAGTCTTGTTTATGTGCATAGCCTAGACGGTGCTCATCATTTGCATTTAATAAAGTTAACTCAGTCATGTTGATCTGTCTAGACTCCATGTGTGGAATTGCCTTCACACACAGGCCGCAAAGTCGCATCTCTTTCCATCCACAATGCATAAGAATGTTCATATGCTGCAAATAGTGTTGGCTAACTTTTGGTAATGCATAATAACAATAATAATAAACTCTTTCTAAATGGCTTTATCAATTGTTAATAAAACATTAACAAACGCTTTAGGGATCAGTTGTAAAAAACAACAACAACATTGATAAGTTTGTGAAGAATGACTATTTGGGCCATATGACCACTTACCTGCAATATTGTAGAAACTTTGGACCGAAATACATTCATTAACAACTCATTACGTATTCACCAACAGACATTTCTGACAGCTTTATTTGTTTATTTTATTTATTTATTTTTTACATTATTGGGGATTTGTTTTACAACCTGACAGCCCAAAATGTGTCAGAAAAATCTAGCAACTACTCTCTCCTTTCACACTTTCTATGGCTTTAGCTGTCAATAACACAAATGAGAAACCCCATGTCTGTCAGATTTCAGGGCTGGCAGAGCTGAGAGATGCTCAGTAACCCGGGGAGAGCTTATTACGACTGGCAGAATTAACGTCCAGTGTCGCCGTTTTCTCTCTACTGTACGCGTGGGAACCCGATCCAGACACGTTTACTGGGCTGTGATGAAATTACTCAGGTTCATTATCAACAGAGAGCCTCCACCGACGCGCTCTCTGAGGGGCCACAGCTCACATTTGTGTCAACACAATTGAGTTCGCTAGGTATATACCTATATAGTTCAGTAGTGATCGATTATAAGGAGTTGAACTGCTGCCTGATGCTATACAGCCACTTCAAAAAATCCCCAAAATGATCAGGCTACTTTTAAAATAGGTTACCAGTGGGTAGGCCGAAGGAAGCTATCAGGACATGTGTATATATTATAAATAAAAGCAGGCCTACTCTTTAAAAAAAGGATCCATTTGAGTGTCATGTTGAATTATTATTTCTCAATGTTTAGGCAGCATTGTTGGTTGTGATGGAGATAGGTTTAACTAGCCTACTTTATATTGCTGGGTAGTTTAATAACAATTCATCATATATTTAATGTGTAAATCATAAGTAAAGCCTACAATATTGACCTCTGAGATAAGTTAATAGGCCTGAAGAAGCATACAGTGACTCAAGTCAAGTAAAATAATTAGCTCAGTTTGTATTGATGGGGAGCTCTCTTTCATCGTAAGCCCAAAAAGTGACTTCTATTATGATACAATAAAAGCAAAAGTAAAGTGGTCGATAAAACGAGTTATGCTGCCATGGTAATGACAGTAGAATCCGACTTACTTCGATAGAACTGTGTCTGAGAGAGAACTATTTTTTCCACTTTACTTGGCTCGTTCACAGTCCTAAAAAACAACAGCTTGTTGCCCTGTAACTTATTGTAACGCGTTACACTGGCCGTGAGAAGCAGACAGTCTTTTGGCTGGTGGGCCACAGTCTGTCCCAGATCCTCCGACAGCAGTAAACCACCCTCCGACATCCCTCCATTGTTTTACTACCAGCCCAGACACCAGGCAGGCTTCACGCAGGCGGCGTGCATCGCGACAAAACCAGCTTTTACGCACGAGCAACATGTTAGTACAGCTAATACAAAAACCTCACCTGTAACTGGAAATATGAGATGTGATTCTTTTGCCTGACCACAAAGATTCAGTGTGTATTTATGCCTATATGCATGCAGGGAATCTGCCCCCCCCCTTCCTCCCGCACGTCCCGCCAATATTCAAATTGGATCCTCTGATTTGAATGGGAGCTTAATGAGACATGGTGGTGTATAATAAATGAAAGTGGGGGTACTTCATGCGAATTAAGTTATGCTGCACAATTAGCTTATCTATTTCAGAAATGTTGCAAGAAGTAAGAGGTTTTCATATTAAACCACTTTTAAAAAAAAAAAGCCAAATAGTAGCATTTAATGGTTCCTTTCATCCCAGCCTAATGTAAAGAACAGTAAATATAGGCTATGTAGAAGTGTAGTTATATTTGCTGATAAAATATTTACTGGTGGATATATATTATCTGACAGCTGAAGCTCCTCAGAGGAATGCAGTCAACTAGGTCTAGAAGGACCACCAGCAAACTCTCCTTCACTTTCTGGGATCTGAGGACTCCTTGTTCTCAGATATGTTTACATAATGTTCCTCCATGGACAGTTTAAGTGGATGCAGATCACACTCTTTGCTAGAAACCAGAGAGTGTCCACTCGAATTTGTAGTTAAATCAGGAGGTAAAATCTGGCAAACTGAAGTTTATTTTATCTATGGCATTCAAATTAATTTAGGGTTCTAGTTCTGTTACTGATTCTTCAAAAGGGTCTATTACAGTCTCTCATTTTTCATCCTGGTAACATGATGAACAGGGGTTTTCTCTCTGATTTCCTGATTTAGGGAAGAGTGATGATTTTGCTTCTCCCCTGACATTCCCTGACGGAAGAGCAAAATGAGATTTGTCCTTTCTGCTTTATGGACGTGTGACTGAACAGTCACCAGCTTCAGTTAAACATCTTGAACAAAGCTTAAACATGCGCACCTCCTCCTTGTTACTGCTCACACGAGGCCATATGCAGTGTATTCTCATGTATTGTTGTTTATTTGTTATTGTTTATTAAAGATCCTAGTTTTAAAAAAAGGAAAGACATGCAGTTATCAGCCAGTCCTCTTGGAGTCCACATATAACACACAGAACAATAATTACATAGAAGATATAAAACAATTAAATAAAGTTACAAACAAAATAATTCCCTGATGAGAGTAAGGGTTTTGCTGAAGTGTGGAAGTATGCTTTCAGAGGCAGAAACTCTTATTGTTTATCAGCATGCGCCCATGAACACTTTCCTGAGTGAATTGGGAAACTTTTGTGACCAATATAGGCATTTCTGTTTTTTAAAAAGGGAATATTGCTATAAGGCTTTAGTTGACCGAATAGATATTGTGCCTTATATGCGTGCATAATGTTATAAAGTGAAAGTAGAGCACAAAATCAATTCACTCTGCTGTCAACCATAACCTGCAGTGCATTAGAATGATGGGATAACTGACAGAACAGACCGAGAATAGTCAGCCACTTTCGATATCTTCGATATCTCTAAGATAGACAGATAGATAGAGACAGATAGACAGGCAGA